TATATATATATATATATATATAATATATAAAAGATCAATTGTTTTTAAACGATGCTCACGTGGTAGTCGTTGAAAGAAGATGTTTTTGGAGTTTCACACGTTATGATTATATCACGAATACTGCGCGTAACTTGAGCCTCTAATTTCAAAGCATCGGTGAGAGCTTCTTCTCCATTGTTCCACTCCTGGCGTATCGGATTTGTATTGTTGGTAGTCTGTATGATGTGAGAAAAGTCGCGTTACTATTTACACTTTTTTTTCTTTATTTCTTCATCATCTTTACTCAATAATCTAAACTATTTGTGCAAATTGTGTTTACTCGTGGAAAGTAGAATACTCACCAAGGGATACTTGAGAAGTTTGCTCACATCATTTGTAAGTTGTCCACGCATTAGCAAATATTCGATGATCTTTATAGCATGCTCTCTCTCTTCGCTCGCGCTTTCGAAAAAGAACTTACTAAAGCCTGGGCGATTTATAGTATCACGTGCAAAGTGGGCACCCTATATAATGAAAAATTAAATCTTAATGTAACACGTTGTAGTCAATTTGTTTTTGTTAATTTAACAGGTTGTAGAGATTATATTGTATATATATTGAATAAGAGAGAGGAAAAGAGAAAAATGTTAACAAGTAGACTATATACCATCGCAAGATATTTCATAGCAGCTTCCATTTCAGTTTTAACTTGAGACTCCATGAGTTTTGTGCACGGATCGGTCATGTCTATCCATGATGTTGGTATATCAGCAGGTTTAAGAAGACCTAAAGAGGTGTGATAAAATGATTGATTTAACGGTTAATTATTAAATGTACAAATAAAAGCCTTGTTGAATTTATATTAATATCTATGATGAAATCTGTCTACTATATTGCATGATAACTCATTTCTTAAATAAATAACAAAAACACGTATTACTTATCACTCAGTTATCAAAAAGATATTTTATCGATGCGTGACTGATCGCTCATAATGTTGATAGCATCTGTTAGCAGTAAATGATTAACATTAAGAATAATCGCAATGAAATATTTTTTGTGTAACATTACTTCTATTTTCATTTTTATCTTTATTTCTACTTTTTTTATGTGCATTGGAAAAATATAAATTATTCTCAATCATAAAATTAATTGTTATTAATGCTTACATTATAAATGAATTAATTTGTAAAAAATGTAATTCTATCTTATATGTATAATTTAAGTTGATATAATGTTAATTGTAAATTACAATTGTTTGTATTACAACAGAATTAAATCTATTTTATAAATCAGAATATATGCAAATGAATCAGAATCGAATCATAATTTATCATAATGGACTTTTATCACACGTAGCATAGATGTAGCACAGACGTCAGTGGATGAGTCATATAGATTGAAACGGACTGTGAAATCAGTATATATATATATATATATATATCTCCCCATCGCGACTTGTCATCAAAGGCTATCTTTGTACAAGACAAAGTCAAGTCAATGATGAAGTGAATTGATTTGCTATAAAAGAGATAAGTATATACGCGACATGTTGATAAGTGTTAATTATTTGATAATGATTAATCTTTCATGATTGTAAGTGAAGAAAAGTCTTTTCTACAATAAGACTAATTTTTTAATTAAACTTTCTTCCTATTGACGAAGTGAAAAGATGCTTTTTCGTATTTTCAAATGTACATATGTAAATTTTAAATAAAAATTTTCATTATTGTCGAGTCCACGAGTCGCATAAATATCGTAAGAGACCACAGCTGAGGCAACTGCGTACCGAAACTGACTATACAGCTCTTTTTATCGTGCGCTGATAATAGCTCTGTCGATTTCCTGCAACTGATTTTCTCTAACGACTCTAGTTTTATCTTCATTTATACATGTATAACTTTATAAAGCGATAATGTTAGTGATACTGAATCGGGTCATAAAAACCAGATTTGATAAAATCATGCCATCTGTGGATAAAATAATACAGATTTTATATATATATATATATATATATATATACACAGAAATAGAAAAATACCTTGACGTATGCACACGTGTCACAAAGATCAAATGCGTTTCCTTGTCGCTAACTTTGATTGAGAAATATGTTTATTTCAACTCTATAAATTCATTAAAAAAAGTTTGGAGCAAGACTGTTAAAATCGTATGTATATATTCAAGTTGACGCGCCTGCGACAAGATGATTTTGAATGCGACATTGCAATGTGCAATCTAATATCAGTTTAGTTTAGTTTGGGTATACGCGACATAGATATTTCGTTATTTTCTTAGTCAATTTTACAATACCCTATACAGAGAGAATGAGAAAGAAGAAACAAAGGCTATATTCTTGATATGGTTTATAAAATGATTGAAAATCAATTATGTCCGCGTATTATAGATATATAACCAAAGTAGTGTTGAAATCTCTTTCAAGGTTTTATGTAATAAGCACAATATGCGTGTTTATTCACAAATGTATTCACAAATGTGAAATATTTACAAGGACAAACGATTGTGTACATAATATTACTTTTGTTCTTTACACAAATATAGGTAGTTATCTTGGAAGGATAGAAGGCAATAATGGAACAATAAAAGTTATTTGTTTCATCAGAGTGAGTCGAGTTTGGGAAGAAAACAGAAGAATTAGAAAAAAGATAAACAGTAAGTTTAACCGAGATTACAGATAATCTTATATCGGTAGAACAAATATGAGCAGGCCAATCGAAAGAGCTTGGACTACTTCCAAAGGTCACATTGCTCAATCAAAACAAACTATTGCATTCACACGCTTACTGCTTTTCACGCGGAGCGACACCATTTTTCACGAGGCGCGCAAAGCACTCCTCGTCGTATTTTGGTATCAAGGGATCGATCATGTATTTTGAAACGAAGTGAAAATTACAAAAGTGAGTGAATTTGCTAGAATAATTCCATTAATCAAAATCAATACCTAGTGAATTCGCTCACTTTTATAATTTTTATCTCATTTCGTTTCAAGATGCGAAAGACGATGTTTGCGTCGAATGATGAAATCATTTTGTCTACATCGGAAAAAGTGATCGGGAGAGAGACGGCCGGGACGCGGGACTGGGGACAAAGGAACGACCGACCGATGAGGAGCGATGCCGGAAAAGAGAGAGGAGGAGAGGAGAGGAGAGATGGGGGAGGGGGGAATTACGCATGTCGATTGTAAACTTACACTTGAGCCCGTCTCCGAAGATGCCATTGATACAGACCAGGATGAAAAAAACGTAGAGCAGCCTCGTCATCGTGATGCAATAAAGAGACTAGAAAGAGCGAGAAAGAGCAGTTTGCCAAGGCAAGTTCTTGAATCCCGGGAAAGAAGCGTCTGGAGTGGTCTGGCGACAGGACGCACGGTGGATCGTTCACCTCGTTCAGAAGTAACCTTTATACGCACTGGTATAGA